GCTAATGTTTTGTATTTTTTTAGTAGAGACGGGGTTTCACCATGTTGACCAGGATGGTCTTGATCTCTTGACCTCGTGATCCACCTGCCTCGGCCTCCCAAAGTGCTGGGATGACAGGCTTGAGCCACCGTGCCTGGCGATCAGTTTCTTAATCCTCTCTTAATTTTTGGATTCTCCCTCTTTCTCCCTTCTCTTACAGCACATTTGGTGAATAAATAGGATCCTTTGTCTCAAAGAGTTTCCAACATCTGGGATTTTTCTGCCTGCATCCTAGTTGAATCATTATCATGCTCCTCCATGAAGTGTTTCTCAAAAGGGAGACCATTATATATATATATTTTTAAATTAGCTTTATTGGCTGTTCGCAGTGGCTCATACCTATAATCCCAGCACTTTGGGAGGCTGAGGCAGGTGAATCACCTGAGGTCAGGAGTTCGAGACCAGCCTGGCCAACATGGTGAAAACCTTTCTTTACTAAAAATAAAATTAGATGGGTGTGGTGGCAGGCACCTATAATCCCAGCTATTCCAGGAGGCTGAGACAGGAGAATCACTTGAGCCTGGGAGGCAGAGCTTGAAGTGAGCGGAGATCATGCCTTTGCACTCCAGCCTGGGCAACAGAGTGAAACTCCATTAAAAAAGTTTTATTGAGGTATAATTGATATACAAAAGACTGCACATATGTGAGGTATACAATGATGAGCTTTGACATATGTATTCACCTGTGAAACCTTCATCACAACCAAGGTAATGGTGAGAAATCAGTTCTCTTCTTCATTGCAGTGGGAGTGTAAATTGGCACAACTTTTATAGAGAGAAATTTGACATCTCTTCACGTAACCAGCACGAACACTCTTTGGTTCAACAGTCCCACTATACCATTATCCCACTTCTCACACTGTGGCAAATGATACATTTATAAAGGTGTATGTTGCAGCATTGTCTGAAATATAAAACGATTAGAAAAATCTCAGTTTCCAATACCAGGATATGATCAAACAGTCATGTAACACTTGTGAAATACATGGCCACTGTTCTCAGTGCTTTACAAATAATAATTCATTTAATTTTCACAATAACTGGATGAGGTAGGTACTATAATTAGGCTCATTTTAAAGATGAGGAAGCTGGGGCACAGAGAGGTTAAGTAGCTTGTCTAAGATCACACAGCCAGCCAGGGGTTCACTCACATGCAGGCAGTCTGTCTAGGGAGCCTGTGGTCTTTTTGCTGTGTTGCAATGTCCAGTTATGATTGTGCCATTGATGCAGCTATAAAAAAGAATGAAGAAGCTCTTTATGGACTGACAGAAAGCGGTTTCCAAGGTATAATGTAAAGTGTGTAAAACAAAGTGTAAACCATCCATGTAAAAACAGAATGAATGTGTGTATATGTGTCTGCACTTGTGTGTATATGTGTTGTGTTTGTGTATGTGTGTTGCATGTGTATATATGTATCTTTCATGTGTGTTGTATATATATGTCCATTTATGTCTGTTTATGTGTATGTGTTGTGTGCATGTGTATTTGTAGTGTGTGATGTGTATGTGTGCATATGTATATTTCTTGTGCGTGGTTGTATATTTGTGTGTGTGTGTGTCTGTGTGTTAGGTATATGTGTATTTGTATAGGCACCAACTATTTCTGAATGGATTCTAAAAGCCATTGGTAGCTTGGTTGCCTCTTGGAAAGGGAATTTCCACAGGGTGGGGGAGGAGAGTTTTCATGGCCTATCTGTTGGCAGACTTTTAAAAACTTTTAATTGAAACATATGTGTAAAAAGGGGTATGTATCATCAATCTATAGCTGGATGAATTTTCACAAACTGAGTGTATCTAGGTACCTAGTACCCACATTCATAAGGAGATCATAATCTACCATATCCCCAAATCCTCCCTGTGCCCCCTTCCTTTCACCCTCCCCCCAAGGGGGACTATCCTGACTCTTAACAGCAGAAATTAATTTTGTACTTTTTTTTTTGAGATGAAGTCTCGCTCTGTCACCCAGGCTGGAGTGCAGTGGCGTGATCTCAGATCATTGCAACCTCCACCTCCCAGGTTCAAGTGATTCTCCCACCTCAGCCTCCTGAGTAGCTGGGATTACAGATGCCTGCCACCAAGTTTGGCTAATTTTTGTATTTTTAGTAGAGATGAGGTTTCACCATGTTGGCCAGGCTGGTCTCGAGCTCCTGGTCTCAAGTGATCTGCCTGCCTCAGTCTCCCAAAGTGTTGGGATTACAGGGGTGAGCCACCACGCCGAGCCGATTTTGTACATGTTGAGCATCATGTAAGTGGAATTATACTCTCTGTGTGTCTGGCTTCTTTTATGCAATCTTATTCTTTTGTTTTTTTAGGGTGTCGCTCTGTTTCCCAGGCTGGAGTGCAGTGGCACAATCATAGCTCACTGCAGCCTCGACCTCCCATGCTCAAGTGATTCCCCTGCCTCAGCCTTCCAAGTAGCTGGGACTGCAGGCACACACCACCACACCTGGCTAATTGTTTTATTTTTTATAGAGATGAGGTTGCCACTTTGTTGCCCAGGCTGGTTTTGAACTCCTGGGCTCAAGTGGTTCTCCCACCTTGGCCTCCCAAAGTGCTGGGACTACAGGTGTGAGTCACTGTGCCTGGCCTTAAGAGATTTATCCATGTTGTTGCCTGGCATTCATTCTCATTGACGTATAGTATTCCACTGTGACTTATTTATGCATTCTAACTGTTGAGGGTATTTGGGTTGCTGCCAATCTTTGGCAATTACAAATAATGCTACTAGGAACATTCCTGTGCAGGTCATGTAGAGAACATATATATGCATTTCTGTTGGGTATGTAGGCCAGGACCTGAAGGACAAGGTCATAAGGTAAGCGTCTGTTTATGCTAAATACTGACTGTTTCCCACAATGGTTGTATGTATTCACTGAGTTTTGGACCATGAGATTATATTTCTCTTTATTTTTGTAGAGATGGGGGTTTCACTGTTACCCAGGCTGTCTTGAACTCCTGGACCCAAGTGAGCCTCCCACCTCGGCCTCCCAAAGTGCTGGGATTAAAGGGTGAGCCACCTCGCCCAGCCAGCAGTTAACGTTTGGGAATAGTCAAGATTATGGGCGGCTGGGTTTCCCAGAGGACTCAGTTGTAGCAAGTGGAGGTGGGAAGAGCCCC